TCTTCTTCTTCTTCTTCTTCTTCTTCTTCTTCTTCTTCTTCTTCTTCTTCTTCTTCTTCTTCTTCTTCTTTTAATATAGATGTTCTATGAGAACTTTTTATTTGAATGTGAAGGCACAAAGAAAGGGAGAACTTTCTAGAAATACTGTATTTAGGATGCTAAAATGGAAGTCAGAATAATTGCCACGATGAAAGTGAAATTCTTTTACAGCAATGCATTTAATAAAAAACAGACTCCTGCATGTTTTAAAGTTCCTACCATTTGAAAAGAAATAGAGTAAAAAATGGAATAAAGACAATTTCTTGAGTTACTGTGACCTGGTATTTGGGAAGAAACACTAACCTCATCTTGGGATTCTAAAAGCCAGAAATCTAAACGAACTTTCAGAAGTGTGAATCCACCCTTTAGAAGCTCAGGGAAGAGAAAACCTCTCTCTAGAAAGAAACTTCCTGGTGTTATTGTTTGTTTTGTTTTGTTGGTTTGTTTCTTTTCGGTAAGTTGTTAAGGAGTGAAACATGAACGATATTTATGTTGGTTAAGGTTCAAAACAAACAACAGCGTAAAGAAACGTTGGGGTCTCTCTGTCCCAGGCTGTTCCTCAACCCTACATGAACTTACTGCTCAAGGCATGAAAACAGTGCCCTGAGGGTGCCACTGCAAGGAAGTTTGCAAGCTGGAATCAGTGGCCTGCTTTATACAATATTTATGTGTGATTATTCTTATAGTTTTTGGGGGTTTTTTGGTCTGTTAAATACAACCAGATTTTTACTTTGTGTGTGTCAGCTCATAGAATTTGTTCCATTGGTGGAAGTTTTATTTCTTTTTCTTCCTGTTTAGTCACCTTTGAAGAGAAATAGTTGAGTTTGGCCCAAAGTCTGTGGTCAGCAGCTCTGGGGGCTTTGTGTCTGGAGTTTTGTGTGACGTGGGATGTAGTCTGTGGAGTGTATTGCCTGGGAAGGACTGTGGCCTCAGGGCCAGGAAGCGCTGGGTGGACAGGGAGGGGCACGGACCCACAGCCCCTCCTGGGTGGCACTGACCCTCCTGCCTCCAGGCCCCACCTGGTGGGTGGTCCTGGGGCCAAGCCCTCCAGCAGCAGGCCTCGGAAGCACTCAACATCTGAACTCCAGCACTTCCTCAAGTATGGATTAGGATAATGGTATTAGGCTGAAATCTCCAAAGGGAACATCAGTTTGGGATATCTGCTTTGAAAATTAACTTTTGATGGCAGCAGTCACAAAGGGCACAGGGCACTCAGGGGGCCCCTGTGAGTGTGAGCCATGTGGAGTTCCTGCCCAGGAGATCCTTGGGACCTGCTCTGCTATTTGGCTGCAGTCCTGTCAGCTTCTGTCTCAGTAGAACATTTCTGTACTTCCCCACGAGAGGCAGCGGTTTCAGTAAGTGCCCAGGGACACCTGTGACACAGCCCCCTCTGACTCACGCTGCCTCCGCCCTGCCTTGGCCCGCTGTACCCCTAGGCCAAGCCACAGAGCAGCTCCTCTTGCTCTTCTGCCTGGTTTGGGGCGTAGCCAGAGCCTTGTGTGGGCTGCTGAGCCCACGGTGGGCCCCATTCTGCTGGGTTGCATGTCCCCAAGAGGAGCTGGAGGCAGTGCAGGCAGCAGGAGAGTCCCGTAGGCACTGGTTAACCCTCCAGGACCAGCAGGGGAGCGAGTGCAGCTGTTCGTGTGTTCCCCATGTGCTGTGGAGGACAAGTGTCTATGGTGGATTGGGAGCACAGGTGAGGGTTTGGGTGATGTTCAGAGCATGGGATGCTTTTTAGGTTTGAGCTGGGAAGGCCAGTGCCCACACAAGATGTGGGAATGCAGGTGTGCCTGGTGCCCCAGACCGGCTGGGTTCAGCTCACTGCCGTCCTCTCGGTTGGCTCCAGTGAAGCGCTACGTCCGGAAAGGGATCCCGCTGGAACACCGGGCCCACGTGTGGCTGGCTGTGAGCGGAGCACAGGCCTGGATGGAGCGGAACCCTGGCTACTACCAGCGACTGCTGCAGGGAGAAGAAGGAAAGTCTGAGTTGGAGGAAGCCATCAGGACAGGTGAGCAGCACGGAGGTGGGAAGCCACCCATGAGCAAAAGTCGGGGAGGAAGGCTGAGTCGGTGCAGGCCTGTACTCCCAGTACTTGGGCTGAAGCAGGAGGATGGCAAGTTCGAGCGTAGCGTGGGCAGCTTAACAACACCCTGTCTCAAAAGAGATAAAAAGTCTTCTAAAGGCTGAGGAGGCAGCTCAGTGCAGAGGCCCTGCACTCTACCACAGCGCTGCACAAAAACAAAGAACAGCAACTAACTGAAGTTAAGAATCGTATTTTGGGTATAAAACTAAACTGAAGTGTTCACAGGGGAGACTTTATTTACTCCATCCTGCAGGTATTTGAGTGCCTGTAGCTCTCCAGGAAGTGAGTAACACAGACACGCCCCTGGGGTCTCAGAAGAGAGAGTGGCAGTGACCCCAGGGCCCACACCTGTGCAGGTGCTGGCTGACGCTCCGCCACGCAGGGGTCCCTCACAGGCACATCGCTGTCCTCTGTCACCATGGGCCCGAAGGTGCTGGCTTTCAAAGTGCTAAACCTGTTCTCACCTCCACTGAATGATAGATGGTTCTGCACAAAGACACCGGGCTGTTTGTGCCTTTGTCCCTGGACAGCACCAGAGACTCCGGCCCTGGGCTGTCCACAAAACCCTGCTGTGAAGTGGCCACTCGGGGCTCTGTGTCCAGCATTGTGAGGCCTCCTGGTAGGCTCAGCCCCAGCTCAGAGCTGCCTGTTCCTCTCTGAGGGCCCCGCCCTGCCTACCCCTGTCTGTGGGCTGGGCAGCCGAAGCCTCAGGCTGGGGCTGCTGCCAAGAGGCAAACACGTGTGCAGAATGCACAAGGCGCTGGGCGCTGCCCTCAGCAGCACGAAGGTAAAGCAAGAAAGGCGTGGGGATGCAGGCCTGTACTCTTAGTTCTAGGAGACAGAGGCAGGAGGGCCATGCTGAGTTCGAGGCCAACTTGGGTTACACAGCAAGACCCTGTCACAAGACAGAACAGAATGGGCAGACACATGGGCCACTGAGCTCAAGCGTTGCCTGCTGGTGGTCTTCGTGCAGACCTGAACCGCACCTTCCCAGACAACGTGAAGTTCCGGAAGACGGCCCAGCCCTGCTTGCAGAAGGCCCTGTTCAACGTGCTGCTAGCCTATGGGCTCCACAACCGGAGCGTGGGCTACTGCCAGGTGAGCCCAGCCCAGGCCTGGGCAAGGGGCAGGAGGCGTTGGTGGGTGCAGCAGGCAGACAGCGTGGTGGCCACCACCCCTGCCAGCCCTGAGTTGGGGCCCCCAGTGGCTGTGCTCAGGTCTTAGGTGCTGGGATGCCTGGCGGCAGGTGACAGAGGCAAGGCTGTAGGTTGGGAGTTGGCCAGGTGCTGACACATGGTGTCCTGCAGGACCCAGATCACCCATTGCCATCTGTGGGTGCCCAACCTATTCCTGGAGGCCACTTGGGAAGGGCCTGTGCATCTTGTGCCTTGGATTTGGAGTCAGCGGTTGTGCTTGGGTGCCGTGTGGGGGACATAGGGGGGTGACTGGAGTAGGAGCAGTCCAGCAGGGTGTGGGCAGGGAGCCGTGGGGTCCCAGGGGCTCAGCCTGTCGGAGCAGTGGGTGCCGCCAGCCCTGCCCCTGGACGATCACCCACCCCGACCTTCACGCAGGGGTTAGAGGTGTACCCTTAGCCTCGGCACTGGGGTTGCCTCTACCCAGGAACAACAATGTGGCTTTAGGAGACAAAACGTCTTTACAGCCTCATCCTTGTTGTTCTTTGGGGTCTTAAAAATAGCCCAGTTTTAAATTTTAGTTTAGTTTAATAGTTTTATCAATGTATATTTGAGACATCTCATGAATATGTTCCTCTCGGGGAGCTGGTCCATGTCTGTCTTGATCTGTTTGACTTCCTCTCCTTGCCCTCCTGCCTTCCATGCACTATTTTATTTTATTTATTTTGTTTTTGAGTCAGGGTCTCACTGAGGCCCAGGCTGGCCTCAAATTTGCAGTCTCAGCCTTCTGAGTGTTGGGGTCACAGGTGTGCACTACATGCCCTGCTCAAGGCTATAAGTGCCAGCACTCCTGAGCTCGCCTGCTCTGGGACACACACAAGGGAGCACGGGGCTGCGAACAACAGCCACAGAAGTGTGGCCCAGGGGTCAAGACTTGCCCAAGGCTGCGGCTCTGTCCTGGCCCTCCCAAGGCTCCTGTGGCTGCCAGGGCCCTAGCTTGTTGCCCCGCCTCTGCTTCCTGCCAGGCAACCGTGTCCACCTCCTCAGTCCTCCTGGATTAAGGCCTCATTCCTGGTACTGTGACATCTGCCAAGGCCTGGCTACCGGCCAGTTCCCAGGTTGGGACTGCAGCAAAGGCCTGGGCTTGAGGCACAGCCTCACCTGTGGCATGGAGAGCTCATGTGACCAGGGTCCTTGAGATACTGCGTGTGCTCCACGTCACAGCCCTGGGGCCACCCTGTCCCTGCCCTGCCAGCCTGTTGCCAGGTTGAATTTGCAGAGTCGGCCTCGGGGTAGCATGATGGATAGGCTTGGCAGGGGTGTGGGTGGGGTGTGGACAGGCGCTGACCATAGAGCCATGCCCTGGACACCCTGACAGTGGAGCTACAGCACCAGCTCCCCTCTGCTGGCCCACTGCCTGCCCTTTGCTGGCTGGCAGCGGCAGGGTTTCCCTCATTGCTAGAGCAGTCTAGGAAGACGGGTGCACAGAGAGAAGAAGAGCCGTGTTAGACCCAGCGCTGAGCCGCACCCGGGGCTGCCCAGGCCGTGTCCCAAGCTCAGAGGGCCTGTGCTGCATGTGGCTGGCAACACCTGCCTTTTGGAAGTGTGTGCTGGGCATTTTCTAAAGGGTCTCCCTCACAACCACCCAACAGCCACCATGAGACCAGGGCTCTCAGTGTTGTGCAGACACTTGTCCTCGTGTTTTGGGAATGGTGGTGGTCCCAGCTGCTTGGTACACGTGGTCTTTGATTTCCTATTCCAGTTGAGATGTTCACTTTTTCTTCTTTCTTAGTTATTTGTTTATTTTTTGAGACAGGGTTCAGGCTAGTTCAGGCTAGCTCACCCAGGCTAACCGCAAATGCCCAGGGCCCCTCCTGCCCAGCCTCCTGAGCGCTGGGCTTACAGATGTGCCTGTCATGGCCGGCATGTGCTCGTTCCTCTTTTGACCTGGATTGTCTGAACACAACATGTGGAGACCAACCCTTAGTGTCTCTTGAGTGCTACCAGAAGACTATGTAAGACTTACTGGGTTTAGGGGCGCTTTGGATGGCAGCGAGTAGCTGAGCAGCCACAGGCTTGTTTAAGGCATGTTTAACCTGTTCGGGGTGGGGCCATGATTTGTGTCTTGCTGCTAGGCAGCCTGGTTCATGCCTGATTGTCCATTGCATGTTTTTTAAAATCAATTTTATTAGTGAAAAGATAGATAAAAGCAATGAGACCAATTTGTACCACCAGTGGATCCAGCTGCCCATGGTTTATGGACCACAGTGGCTGAGCCATTGGGATTGGGTCACAACTCAGTGTAGATTTTGTTTGTTGTTTTTCTGATTTCAGGGAATGAATTTCATAGCAGGATACCTCATCCTGATCACAAAGAATGAAGAGGAATCTTTCTGGCTCTTAGATGCTCTCATTGGACGGATCCTGCCTGGTATGTGGACAGCATGTGTGCCTTCCCACCGTTTGCTGTGATGGAGGCAGCCATCCGGCTCAGCGGGGCGGAGTGGTAATGCAGCGGCCTTGTGTGGCAGTCCAGGTCCAAATCTTCCACTTGGGCTAAGACAAGCGGATGGTCCCAGCAGGTGTCCCATCTGGGTGGCTGTTGCCTGTGGTTTCTGTGGCCTCTGCTGTGGTTTGGCTATCTGTGCTGATAGCCCCTTGCTCCCCCTCCCACAGGGATGTGGCTGGGGAAGGACCCTGTGTGGGGTCCGTGTTGGTCCCACATCCTAAGTGGTTCACATGGCTTCCTGGAAGTTTGTTCCTGAATTTGTGAGCATGGCCAGCACTCTGGTAATCACTTGCTAAAGCGTCTTCGCTGAGAGTCCTTCAGGGCTCTTCCCCCTTTCTAGGTTACTAATAACAGTGGCCACCAGCATTTGCAAAGTGCAGCACAGATGACCACGGTGTCGATGTCAGTTGCAGTGTTGACGTGACCACAGCGTAGCATCAGCTGTGGTGTGGATGTGGACCGCAGCCTGGGGTGGACTGTGGTGTGGATGTGGACCGCAGCCTGGGGTGGACTGTGGTGTGGATGTGGACCGCAGC